GTGCTGTGAGACGATTTTTGCTTAACCCTTTCAGTTTTTAGCCGTTTCACAAGTTAATTTTTCAACCGTTTCACAAGTTTAACTCTTCTCTACTTGGATTGCATCTACCGTAATGACAGTAAACTAAAATGTCAATAAAAGTAACGATTAGCGTCGTAAAATGGAAAATTAAAAACAGAAAATGGAAATCTAAGCAATTACTTTCAAAAATCGAAATTGAACAACCAGCAACCCGCTTTGATATTGCAGTTGTTTTAAATAATTATTGTTGGTTATCAACAGCAGCAGCTGTCCGCTGTCAACATTCCAAGCTAAGTACCCACGCTAGTATAATACTTGTTATTTAGTGGCTTGGTTGATGGCGCAATTACAGCAACTCACTCACTCACTGAACTCGACTCAAAGCACATAGAGTGCCATTACCCCCCACACCACATGCGAGCTTATTACAAATATTTCTACTATTCATTCAGTGACGTTGACAGCTGTTGGTAATCCAATTTCGCGCGACACGCACACACACACACGAGTGCATGTAAAAATATAAATATTTGGCAATATATTGAGGAATTGTGGTTGCGGCAGCGAGCAGAAGCGAAAAAGCGCGCAGAAAAGCAGCGAATTCGCGGAAAAATTCATTGAAAATTCGAAACGAAAACAAAAGTAGCAGAACTTGACGCAAAACAAATACAACAACTAGAGTATTTTGTTGCAACATAATTTGTGTGTTTGTTGTAATCGTTGCTGTTATGTTGGTTCATTAAATGCCTGCGCATACACACACAAACGCAATTTTGAACATATACAAAGTTGCTAATTTAATTAGTTGAATTTTATATAAAATAATTTCAAAATAAAATAATATAGTATTTGGTAATTATTAATTTAAATTTTTTAATTCTTAAAATTTGTATAAGTTATTTATTTCCAATATGTTTGTGTACTCGTATTAGCAGAATTTTTGTATTTTTGATTTTTCACAATTTTTTTAATTAAATTTTTTTTTTAATTTATATTATTGTATAATAATTAATTTTTAAACATTTCCTTATATTTATTAAATTTCTAAATAATTTTTTACAATCTTCGAATTTTTTATTTTTTATGATTTAAATTTCTAAAAATTTTCTAATATTTGTGTTATTTATTTCTTATATTATGTTTGTGTTTTTAATATGTTTGTATACTCTAATTAATTTTTTTTAAGTTAATGCATAATAATTTTTTTTAAGTTAATGCATAATAATTTTTTAATTTTTAACATTTCTTTATGCTTATTAGATTTTTTATTAATTAAGTTTTTAATTAATTTGTTACAATTTTCGAATTTTTTTAAATTAAAAACAAAATTTTATCTATTTTTTGTGTTTTAAAATTTTAAAATTGTTTTTAAATTTTAATTAATTCCTAGTTTATTATCATTTATAACATTTTTATTTACAAATTTTTTTATTATTTATTTCAATTTATTAGCTTTTATTGATAATTGTTTTGTTTATATATTTTTTTAAATGAAAATTCTATTTTTAATTTTTTCTAATTTTTTTTTTACGCTCTGCACTTTTATGCATGTGAAAACATGCACGCTAACGCTTCGTTAGGCAGCAACAAGCGTCAAATTGAGATATTTGTAAATAAAAGTTTTAATGAATAGCGATGGCTGACAACACCAATTTTCTATGCCGAAAAATAGAAAATCGGCAAAAAAAAATTTTAGCTAGAAAACGTTTGCATATATTTAAATTTCATTTTATATAGAACTACTTTTTTAATTGTTGCCACACATTGCGAAACTTAAATTTACTGGCATATTTTCTGACAGACATATCTGTGACATTCATTTTGCACAACATTTTTTAGCCGTTAAATTTTTTAATCACTCATGGAAAAAATCTATTTGTGCATAAGAAAAAAGTTATTAATCATTCGTGCAAAAAATTTATTGGCGCATAAAAAAATTATTATTTTTCAACTAAAAATGTATGTCATTAGTCATTTGAGAATATTTCAACGCTGAGTGTTCATAACTATCAGTGACATCAAAATGTGTATTTTTAGAAAAAGTTGTATATTTATGGAAAATAATATTTATTTATAGAAAAAGTACTGATATATATATTTTTTTTCAAAACATTTTTTTTCGAAAAATATTGTTATTCTTTGTGTGTTAACGAGCAAATTGTTAAAGTGTTATTGAGCATATAAATTCTTTGGCTTTTTGGGCGCCGCAGCAATTTTATCACAACAAGCTTTTGCAAATTTTCAAATAAATAATTTATTGTTCAACAGCAAATTTAGATTTCCATTTAAATGAAAAGCTGTTCAATAGTTATATCGCTGTAAAGTTGAAACAAAATTGTATAGAATTGTGCGCTTGTTGTTGCCTTGATTAAACTAAGTGAAAAATGTTAAAAATATGTGCAATTTTTTATGGTTTTGTTTTTGGCTTTGTTTATTGACAGCGCATTTATTTGCATAATTAGAAGTGAAAAAAGAAATTTGGATTATGAAAAAATGCCAAATTTTTTTTTATCATTTTTGTCATTTAGCGAGACAATCTGGCTGATTTATTAGTATACCCTGAACAGGGCATAATAAGTTTGACACGATTTTTGTAACACCCAAAAGAAAATGTCAGAGACCCTATAAAACATATATGGTATAATATACAAATGATCAGCGTGACGAGCTGTGTCGATTTAGCTATGTGTGTCTGTCCGTCCGTCTGTATATATGCGAACTAGTACCTCAGTGTTTGAGATATCGAACTGAAATTACGTACCCATCCTTTTCTTACCAAGAAGCTGCTCTTTGTTGGAACGACCGCTATTGGACTATTATAGCATATAGCTGCCCTACAAACTGGCCGATTAAAGTTCTTGTAAGCAATATTTTGTATTTGTGAAAGGTGTTGTGGCTGCGGTGCAACTTAAGTTGACACTTTTTCTTGTTTTTTTGTAATATTTATTTTGTACTAAAAATAACACAGAAATTAAATAATACATTTAGCTTCATTAGCCAGCAAATTAGCGTAATTAGCAGTTTAGTAATTAATATTCGAAAAAAGAGATTATTTTTAACCAAAAAAATTCTAGGCAGGTTCTTTTTATTAAAATATTTACGATTTTTAACTATAGAAAATTCTAGCAACTTTTTTTATACAAAAATTGCTGAACAAAAATAAAAAGATATTAAAGTATTATTTAAAAATTTTAGTAATTTACTTTAAATAATACAATTTTGTGCAATATTCAACATTTTTTTAATTTTAGCTGATATAATCTTAAAGTGCGCAGACATTTTTTTTTTTTTTGATTATTTTGCAGAAATTTAATTTTTTACTTAAAATTTAGCTTGTGTTTTATTAAAAACATAAATTTATTATATTTATTTTTTTATACTGCAAATCCGCACATTTTTGATTGCATTTTTTATTTTAATTTTTTCGCTGTACACAGCGATGCCTTTCATTGCGCCCTGCAAAATTGTTATTTTCAAATGTTTATTTTTCGCTTTTGCTTGTTTGCCTTTTCCCTTTCAACGGCAGCGCTTTTGTTCTGGGTAACACTGTTTTGATGTGTAATTTTTCACTATTCCTTGCTTGTTTGCATTGTTCATTTTGCTTCGCATTTTAGTTTTTTTCTATTTTGCACACATTGTTGCAATTTCAGGGCGCTAGCAAATAGCTCAGGTGTAGACTAAAATATGAAAGAAATGTGCTTGGGAGAGGTGATGAGTACAAAAACCAGCCTTCTAAGGGCAAATAGTGGAAGTGGGGTGATTATAAAAGGGTAAAGAGCATTGTGATTGTGTTAGAAAGGATTTAAAACTATTTTTTATGGTGCGTAGTAAAATACTCGTGTCATTTATAAATCTTGGTAATTACAAAAAAATAACTTAAGCATATTGAATCGGTTACTTTTAATTGTAACGCTAAAATTTTAGCTTACGACCATGTTTTAAACAAATTTCTGTTTTTTATTAAGAAAAAAATTTGATTTTCTCTAAATACTTGAAATCGCATTTAAAAATGGACCGATTACTTTAAGTTCTAACCCATAATTAACTAAAAACTAAAAGCAAAATAGGTGAATTTTTCACTAAACGCCTTAAATAAGCTTCTATGGTCTCAAAATATATTAATTAGCTAACATGAAATTTAAAAAAAAATTTTTTTGAAAGGCAATTAGAAAAATTTCATTGAAAATCTAGTAATCTAACATCAATGTAATCAATTTGGAATTCCAATTGTTTTAACTTTAGAATAAAATACGATTATGAAAAAGAAATGTTTTCTAATGTTACTAATATAAATATTTGTGGTAAAAATTGGATAAAGCTAGCTAGCAAATTTGAAAAGTTTGAAGTCTAAACTTTTAACTTGGGCTGCACCTCAGCTATAATACTTTTCGCAGTTGCATTTTGTATAGCTTTTAAGGGTATAAAAATATCCTTGTCTTAATTTCGGTAATTTTGTCGTTCGGTCAGTTTGTATGGCAACTATATGATATAGTGATCCGATTTGAACAATTCTTTCGGAGATTATAGCGTTATCTGAGATAATAATCTGTGCAAAATTTCGTGAAGATGGTTTGTCAAATAAAAAAGCATTCAATACAACGGCTTTAGTTTGTGTCACCAGTTTGTATGGCAGCTATATGCTATAGTAGTCGGAACTGAACAATTTGTCCGGAGATTGTAGTGTTGTCTTGGGCACTAATCTATAAGAAATATCATGGAGATATATTGTCAAATAAAAGAGTTTTCCATACAAGCATTTTACGCAATCGTTCAGTTTGTACTTTACTTACTGTAGGCTTTAGTAATCCGATTTTAGCAAATTTTTCGGATATTGTAGCGTTGTCTGAGATAATAATCTGTGCCAAATTTCGTGAAGCTATCTTGTCAAATAAAAAGGTTTTCTATACCATTTTCAACTCACGTTTCACTCAATATTATTATAAAATATTTGTAATAATGTTAACTGTGCAACCACTTACATTAACTTATGATTTTCCGGCTCTGCTGCACTCATGTAATGACCAAAGCGCGCTGGCAACGTGTTGCTTGTTTTTATTTTTGCTTGCTTGCTTTTCGTAATTTTTTCTAGTTTTGCACAAAACTCCTTCGACCGGTTTGCGGCTTTGTTTCACTTATTCCACTGCTATATTTAGCATATACAATTTCTTATTATTATGATTTTTATTTTATTTTACACGCTTTCTTATTCATTCATGGCACTGCAGCGACTTCGCAAATACAATCGCTTACGGCTGCCAATAAACACACGCACTCACTTAGCAAGCACTGAGCATATGCATAAAACTGACGGATTTGTTGTAGTTATTCAGCAGTCAATAATCGATAAACAATTGTCCGTCTGTACGTCAGTCAGTCAGCGAAGCGAATAAGCAGGTAGCATCCGAGTCGTCGTGCTTGCAATCACTACCTGTTCTTAGCTGCGACGCACCGGCATAAATAGCGACGAGCCGAAAATCTTAACACACGCACACACACGAGACAAACACTAGATTTTTTTTGAAAGAAAATCCAAAAAAAAATTCAAAAACAAAAGATTGCAAGCAGTATTAAAGTGACTGCGCGGAGCTGAAGTAGCAGCAACAGCAAGCAGCAGCGTCTTCGTTTCCTAGTTATTGCTTATGCACACATACACAGTTGCATGCGGTTCTCCTTTCCGACACACGAACGGTGTATTTGCTTTGCCTGATTGATTCGTTGCGCCGCTAAGCAGTTGCTGTTATTGCTGTTTGTATTTTATTTTCTACTTTTTGGCTTTGCACAGCCACGAAAATTTTCATACAACTTCGTAGAGACACTTCAAATATTTTTAACTTTTTGTATTAACATTTATTCATATTCACACACACTCGCAAACATTTATTTTCGCTTAATTTCACAAACTATTTGCGGATATTTCTGAATGATGCTGCTCGCGATATTCACAATGCGACATTGGACACCCTGCCGTTGTGTAGCGAAATTTTTATACGAAAAACGCAATCGTCTCCGTTCGCCTTTAAGCTCAAACTATTAAACACATCTAAACGGCATAAAAACCGGCACGAAACTAACGAAGACAAATGCTCGCACAGCGCAGCAAGCCAACCAACTTCTAATGAACAGCTCGATGCTCGCGCTGCTGGCGAAGTTAGTTGTTCGTCGGCTGGTTCGATGTTGCGTTGCGACAGCGCCAAACGTTGAATGCGAGTGTATGTGTGTTTGAGCAGCTGACTGTTGAGCATTTGTGGAACGCATTGTTTGATGACCGCAAATATGTATGTGCCAAGCAGATGATTCAGTTAGAGCTAAGAAATTTAACAGCTGAGAACAATTAGTCACTGGCTTCATCACACTTCGACGATGAAGACAGGTTAGTTATAAGATTGCAGCGTGGCGTTCAGTTCCCACAAGATTGTGTAGTAAATATAATCAAGGTCCAAGTGTCTGGTTGTGTGTCTGCAATTTGAACGACCTAGACCAAAACTGAAGATTAAAGCATAAATTAATTCCTTAACCACACGAACGCAGCGAATTTCCAGATGAAAATTAGCCACAGAAGAGAAACTCGAAATACGCAGAGATTTGAACCCAGAAACTACCGTTTGTTAGACCCCCACTCTGCTTTGTAAAATCAACTAGGCCCGAATACATGTTCTTGTCATGAATGAATATTTTCTGCACTTATTGTTAATCCGTCAGTATTTGTCTCACGCGACCACCATCAACATAAAATCCACAAGCAGCATATACGTTGATTCACTCAAAATACCGATTCGGCCAGACTTTAAAACCTTCAAACATGTTGCATACAGGTAGCAGCAATAGCATGCAGTCCATAAATAATTGCCATTAACTGCATTTGCTGCTGACTATTAATCTTTCGCTAATACGAGAGTGCCGCATGCAACCTCTCACTCTCTTTTAAAGGTATGCTCGCAAAGATGCTGTTAAGTTACAGTCGTAACCGTGTTGAGTTTTGGAAAAAATTGAAATAAAACTGATGACTCTTCATGCAATCGGTGTGATATGACTTAGGTATGATGATTTTATTTTAAAATATTACTTTTTCCTCTACTTGAACCAGAAAAACGCCTACAAATTTGCCGATAGAATATATGCTCTCATGGAATCAATTTAAGCATATTTCCTACACTCATCCCTCTAAAGTTTGACTGGCTTTTGAGCGAAAGGAACATTCAGTTCCAAAGTTGTCAACGCCCCGGAATAAAGTACAAAATTTCTGTTGTGCTTCGGTTTGTAATGGAATTTAGGTTACACTGGCTGACTGTAATGCCCTACATGGACCAACATGTCCTTTGTAATACCAGATGCAGGTTCATATTTAATAGGAACTAAAATTTACGTCGTACAGAATGTCAACACATTTTTCGAAGCTTAATAGAGATATCTAATTTTGATACTACAGCCACCCTTTTGAACTACGAAGCTTCTACGAAGCGTATAGTATAGCCACAAATTTTACTGCAGTGATTGATGTATTGTCAGAGATGCTTTAATAAACGATGGCTTTACGCTATATTATAGTATTTAAGGACATTCTTATACCTTGAACAGGGTAAGTTTGACACGATGTTTGTAACACCTTAAAGGAAACGTCAGACACCTTATTAAGTGTATATATATATATATAATATATAAATGATCAGCGCGGAGAGCTAAGTCGATTTAGCCATGCCTATCTGTCTGTCCGTCCGTCCGTCTGTATATATACGAACTAGTCCCTCAGTTTTTGAGATATCGGTCAGAAATATTGCCCCCGTCCTTTTCTCACCTAGAAGCTGATAACGACTGATAACAGACTACTATAGCATATAGCTGACAAACAAACTGACCGATCAAAGTTCTTGTAAGGAATATTTTGTATTTTCAAAGGGTATTATAGCTTTTGTACAGCCCCAGTTAACGTTTTTTCTTGTTTGTATTAAAAAAGACATTATTAAATATTTTCAAAATGAATACAAATTCATTGGTCTCACAAAACATTCTTCTGTGGATAAATTTCATTTATTTTAATAAATTTGAAAATATAAAAATTTTTTACGAAAATTTCGTGACTTTTAACATCGAAATAATCTCACGATATGGCAACGCTGCCAGAAGTCATGCACTCATTGCACAATTAACTGTTAAGTCATTAACAGAGTCACGGAAACACACACTCGCACTCTCTCTCTTTCTCTCTCTCCACACATTCAGCGCCCTTCGCCAGCACTAACCTTACACTAAATATTTCCTGGCGCGCTAATGAAATGTTAGCCCTGACCATTATATATTTTTATTGTTATTGTTGCGTACGGCACTTTTTGTTTACATGATTTACTTTGCTGCTTGTTGGTGGTGGCTTTTTGTTTGTTCTTACTTGTGTGTATGTATGTATGTATGCATTCCATATTGTTGAGCTACTCTCTTCCCTATTTTTGTTGTTATTGCTTATTTGCTTTTTTCTCTGCCTTTCGCACGCCACCATAACCTACCACATGCTCGCATGCACATACATATGTGGATGGTTATTTGCATAGCCCATCAACAGCTGTGTCTTCAGTGGCTGTTAGCCGAGCTCTGCGGCTTTCGAGCGTCGCACCGCCGGGAATCCGAGTGACGCAAGGGAGCAACTATGCAGGAGCACATGTAATGAAGCAAACATTTTTTCACAAACACGTACACTCACATACATATGAAGGAGTCTATGCATGTGTGTGTGTGTGTTTGCATTTAGCATATGAATTCTGCGGTTATCAGTGCAGGCGCCCAAGAGACAACAATTCCGCTTGATGGTTCGGCAAGGGGAGCGCCTGTCTCTGCTATGTGACCGACCGCCCAGCCAATCAGTGTCTGTGCTGTCAGTTTGCTCGAAAATGCATTACATTTTATTGACAGGGAAATATTTGCTAACAAATACTTGCATTACAAATGTTTACATAATTGCAATTCTAACTGAATTTCTGATAAAATTGATGATTCGACGAAAACAAAAACAAAAACAATAAAAATACGACAAACTTGAATTTTTTTTGTAGGTTGGCGCTTGAGTAGGAAAAAAAATAACAAAGAAAATATTTGAGTAAAATAACCTACCTATTCGAGCGCCTATAACGGCATTACGCAGGCAGGAGTGCGTAGCCGGAATAAGAAAGTCATGAGCAGAGCGCGTGGTGTGTGTACATTTTCACACATCTACGAAAGAAATGGGTCAGTGGTGCTGCCGTAAACTAATTTTAATCGTTTTAAGATTTCCAAGCAAAAATTTTTATTTCAAAAAGGTTAAAAATCAAAAATTATGTGTAAGAATTATGCATATACCTATATAGTATGTACATATGTATGTATATATGTACCTCATATTTTAAATGCCACATACATATGTTTGTATAATGTATAGGTATCTTAAAAATTTTATAAAAAAAAAACAAGTTTGACAAAATAAATTTACGCTTTCAATAAAAGTTTTGAAACAAATTTTTTTTAAAAACAAAGATATACTTATGTATTAAAATTTTATACATATGTAAAAAAATACTTCGACAAAAAAATTCAATATTTAAAAAAAAAATTTAACAAAATTTTTGTTAAAAAAATAAAATGCTTTAGAAATTTCTATTTCATTCTTTTAAGAATTAAGAGACTATTTTAATTTATATATATTTGATATTATATTTCTTATATATTTGAAAAAAAAATATGTTGATAAAATAAATTTACTATTTCAATAAAAAACATTTGAATAAAATTTTCGTAAAAAAAACTAAAAAGCTATACAAGTTTTATTTTATTGTAAAAAAAAATTCAATACTAAAAAAATTCAAAACAAAAAATATTTTGAGCAAAAAATTATTTGAAAATTTTATATTATGAAAAAAAAAATTGTTGACAAAATATCATAAATTTTTGATTCTAATAAAAAATAATGAAGCAGAATTTTAAAAAAAATGTATTGACCATTTTATATATATGAAAAAAAATATTTCGACAAAATAAGTTTACAAATTTATTAAAAAATAATGAACCAGAATTTTAATCCAAAATGTTTTGACAGTTTTATATATGTATATAGAAAAAAATTTCGACAAAATATTAACGATTTTAATAAAAACAATTTAAACAAAATTTTTGTATAAGCAATTTTCGGAAGCTATATACATATGTATATAAATTTTGATAAAAAATATTTTAAAAGAACTTTTCTACAAACAAATTTTAAAAAGCTGGCAAAACTTCGATTTCATATATTTCTTTAAAAAATTTGTAAAAAATTGTTGGAAGCTATATAAATTTCGATTTCAATACTTTTGTTTGAAACAAATTCAGAATATTGACTTTCGAATTAAGCTTTTAGAAGCCAGATGTGTTTAGAAAATTTTTGTTTTTAATTATGAAAATGTAATTTTTTTAAAGTTTAATTAGCATATAATACAAAAAAATGTTTTCCAGGTTATAAAAATTAATTCTAAATATATTTTTTGAAATCATATTAGTGAATATCCCAAAAAAATTTCCCAAAAAAATTACAACTTTAAAAAATATTTTTACTTTAATCAACAAGTAACATGTATATATCTTAAAAAATTAAAAAAAAAAGAAAATTTTAAAATAATGTTTTATAAAAATATATATATCTACAAAAAGTAAGAAAAATAATATTAAATATAAAAATCAAATTGTGGGATTAGGTACTTTGTGACCAATAGCTTTTTATTAATTACAGTATTTAAATTTTCTTTACTATTTCTAACTTAAAAGCTAACACAATATAAGTTTTTTATTTAAAAAATACGAAAAGCTGACTAAATCTACAAGTAAGCGTAATTAGCCCCCTTTATAATAAATAAAACAAATAATTACAAATGAAAGTTTTAGCTGGTCGCTTGAGCGCTCTCACGTTTTCTCGGCACGTGACGATCGACACCGCTCTCTCTCCCGTTCAACTGTTATTTTTACAGTATTTCTTCGTTCTCTAACAACGCCTCGGCGTCCGCCGTGCCCATTACTAAGTTGTAAAACCACGATTGTGCGACTACGGAAATATAGACGAGCAATACCACGAAAGCCATGAGAGTTAACACGCAAACGGCCCACACCGACAAAAGTCCAAATAAATCTATTTCATCGAATTTTTTATCGAGGTAATTTTGAATTTTCACAAATAAACGTCGTTTATCCGCATTGTCAATGTGGCGCTGACGTCTGTTTCTTTTTGCCATAACGGTGTATTAGACGACAGATTTTCTGCAGTTGCTTATCACTTTTCAAGAAAAATAAAACTACTGAAATTTTAAACGTCTACGCATAACTGTTCTGGCATAACCTTGATATAAACAACAGACTTGCCACATTGTTTTGCTAAAAAATATAATTTCTGAAAATTAAATTTATTGTGCTGAATAATAAAGTCTGGCAACATACGCGCTCTATTTACAGCTACTAAGAAAAACAAAGGCAAGAGTTCGCTTGTGATATTTTCACCTAAAAATTTGTAAAAAAAAAGTGAAGTGAAATGTCCGATTTATTGCTGTATTTCTTGGTTGCTTTAGTGCTTCTGCTCTTTATCGGCTTATCGGTAATTCTTTACTTCAAGTGTCGCGCTTGGTTCCCGATTCAGGTGGTGCACCCGAACAATGTAAATCACGGCCAAAGAGAAACCGCCTTCTAAATCCACATATTGGTGCCCAATGCTTCCTAGGGGAGCAAACAGTGCAGTATTGCAGGGTGTAAATATGCCAAAATGGACTTTACTGATCTTGACTTCAATCTTTTATGTTGCGTGTTTTTTGTTCACCTTGAAACGTCTTACTTGTCTATGCCTTTCAGAACTTATTGTTCCTTAATAAACTTTGTTTGGTAAAATTAGAAACAAAATTTCCAATTATAATTTTTTTTTTATTAAACATTGTTTTTATATTCTGGAAAGTTTGGCAGGACAGCAGCAGAAAATGTTAAAGAGGCATGTTACTCTAACATACGACTATCTGACAGCACTGTTGCAGGCACAGTGGTTAAATACGAAGCAATTGGTCGAAAAAAGCTTACCACATAATGTTTGCACGAAAATATGAAAAAAACAATTTGTATAACTAAATTACCTCGAAAATTAGCGCATATCGCCGTAAGGGTTGATTATAGTGTAGAAGCATGAATTTAAGATAATTTTTGAAGTGTCGTAAAAAAATGCAACTTATTATTTATTAACATTACAAGAATACTGGAAAAAATCAATAAATAAAAAAAGTCAAAAATTAGCAGTTGATAAAGTGGAGGTCTCAAAAAATTGACACGTAAGCATGTCCACGATTTAAGCCCTCTTAGCAATCTGAAACCAAAAATATTATTAATCAAGAGTAATGTCGTAATGTCCTCTTTACGAAATGGCCATTGCTTGGTAAATAAACAATTTTTGTACGACTTTTTTTGACTGTTTCGAAACTTTAAAAATAGTAAAAATTTAAATTTGGGAATATTGCTAGTTCCAGATATATAAAAGTCTACAAGTAAGACTCACTCAAAATTTCATGTAATTCTGTTTAGTAGAACTTGAGACATCGTGGGTATCCTTTTGTAAAAGGCAGTTTCAAGAAAAACGTGTTTAAAGTTCCTTAACTGGTTGAACTAGTTTGCATGCCGGTCAGCAAAATACCTATATCTCCGAAAATAATTTGATTTTTTAAAAATGTGATTACAGATTGTACTACTAATTTCTGGTATGACACACAATAACTTACAACATATAAACTTCGAAAAAAATAATAGACAGGATATCAAAGGTAAATTTTATGTAGCTAAATTTTTCTGCAAAAAGTTGTTTTCCGCATGCAATGGCGGATCGTTTGCGAGCCAGATCAAGTATACTTTTGAAGACATATAAGCTAGATGGAGATATGCCCAAAGCTGGAAACTAAAACTAGCTTGAACGAAGTATGAAAGGGGTCATTGAATATAAAAATTTTTAAAAATATGTATTTATAACTACACAATACAAAATTTAAGTAAAACAGATTTTGTAATGTATATAGTAAATGTATATTTTCCGAATTGCAAGACAAGGTGTCAACTTGTTGACTGCTAGGAGCGATTTGTTAGAGCTCTCTGGTAGAAATATAGAAAGTGTATTTTCAATGACTATTCTTTCGAAATTCGGCATGGAGTGGAAAGAAATTTGGTTTAGAGAGCGTTTGGTAATCAACTGGGGTTTTAAAAATTAGGTGAAAACTGTTTTTCAATAACATTTAAGTATTCCAATGCCGTTTGTACCACTGTACAGCGCTCTCCCAGCTAACAGCGCTGTCCACTTTTCAAACTAACAACAGCACTGTTAAAAGTAAGCAGAGTCATGTTAAATACAGGTGTGGTTACTGCAATTGCTCTAAGAGGCTTCCTCATTAATATGTGAGCCACGCACACCTGTGAGGGTCTTGCAAATGACGCGTAGACAAATTTATGTAAAACATTATTTAATTCATGTATGGCAACTGAATTGTGTGAATGGCTTTGGCAATGAATTTGACGGTAATAAACGACGATCCGTGTATATATAATATATATATCTACATATATATTTATAGATATATATATACACAAATAGGCGAAAGAAAAGCAGGTCATTTGTATATTAAATATTATCGAATAGTTAAATGCGGAATTTGAAGTACAAATGAGACCTGAAGCGGTTGGAGAACGTAAAAATAAGGGGTACTACACTTATTAGTGAATTCCACACCACACCCGCATTCTAATTTTAGTATGTAAATAAGCGTTTACACAAAGAGTAACAATTAAAAATGCGCTGAGGCTATGCTGAAGCGCGCTAAGCAATACCAGGAACCCCCAAGCACGGCAGCAGTGTAGCAGACAAAGGTCAATAAAGCCTATGTCAAGGTCTGTCGCAGCTAAAATTGCAGCAGAGTGTGTGTGTATGTGTGCAAATTTTAAGAATGCGACCCTCAGCCAGCACCAGCTCGTAGTCAGCGCAGAGTGCAACCAGGAGGAACGCTAACGAGTCAAATAATTTCGGCTTTTATGGTGGCTTCAGTTGCAGTGGAGGCCAACAACGTCAGGGTTGCTACACTTTTATACACTTACGTGCCGGTACACACACCTAAACCGGTGTGTGTGAGTGAGCCCAAAGCACATTAAAGTGCAACTTAAGAAGAACCAACCATCACAGCGACATGCAAGAGTGACCAGCAGTCGTTAAAGCACAAACAAAAGGCACAAAAGGCGTCGAACGGAGTAACAAACAACAATTAAAAGTGTGTGGATGTAAGAAAATCGAATATAAAGAATAATAAAAAAAATCGGTGGAGGCAAAAAGCGCGACAAAATGTAAACAATTGTTGCCGTAAATTTGTAAGGCAACGAGCAGCACTTGCCTGAAGCGTGGCTGGTGTAGTGGCAGCAAGGGATTTGAGGCCCAGAGCTGGCGGTAGAAGTGAAAAAATTGCGAAAAAAATGCGGTAAAAACGCCAAAATATTGCATTCACTTGAAATTTATAAATTGTATGAATGTTATTTCGTATACAGACAGAGAGATATCCCCGCGATATAGTCAAGTTCTCTCAAAGAGCCTTTCACATTACGTCTTTTCTTTAGAGCTCAGAGCCAATTACAGAAAAAACTTCGACCTCCATCCGCAAGGATAACCATAGAAAGCCTCCCGACTAAATGTAGTTATTTACTATTTAGAACAACAAAAATTAGAAGTAAACCTCATTCATCGCAATTCTGACTTTACAAAACAATACTGACGTCGATCTGTTGAAGGAATCAAAACACTAATTTCAAGTTTGAAAATTAACCTCTATGGCTGGTCAACAGGAGAAGCTCCTTCTTTTACACTGGCTAGCAAGGAAAATTCAAAGACATTCAGATAATGAATATAATCCTAAACCCATTTTTAATGATCGCTCCACCCTTATGGAGAGCTACCCACCAAAACTGCAGCTCTTAGATGACTATTAAATAAGGAGGTGTAGAATTTTCGTAGTTCCTGATTTTAGGTAGACCCTCAGCTATAAAAAACTGTACACTTTCATTATATTGTCAGTTTTCGAATCGCTGTTCAGACTTTCTTCGGAAGAAAGAGCTGGTTCGGAAGGAAAGTTTATAATTATCCACAGCTGACGAATCTTAAAGGAACCTCAATGCACTTGCTAAAAGTAAATATAGACAGGCGGCTAAAGAAATATGATATGCTATTGATAATTTGATGGCAAGGATGACCGAAAGGCTAGGAGCCGGAGCTAGGCCAGAAAACACACACTATTAAGTAAGAATAAAGTTAAAGTGGTTTGGATCTACATTTATAGAAATTCTCACTAACTATTTTTATTAGTTTGTATTTTATAATTTTTTTTCTTCACGTGGCAACTCCATTCAGTTGAGTTTCCTACAAAACGGCATCTCAAAGAAGACAATAAAAACGCGACAAACACAGTTCCACAAGTTTAGAACCCAAATATCAAAAATAATAACATTAAACCAATTTTTGTTTTTATTATAAAATAAATTAAATAATTAATTAGAAATGGCGCTTTTAATGCTCAGCGTAGTAGTTTTAGTGCTGCTCATTGTTGTGTTCATTTATGTCAGCGTCATGTTCATTGAGGAAATCCGATATGAGGCACCAGCGGTACGAGCGTAGAGGAGAGCCGAAAGGGGTGGGGGTGGTGAAATTTCAAAGAAATATTTTTTACATATTTACATATTTGTTGTCTTAAAAAAGTGATGTGTTAAAGATATGTCTAACTAAATAAATATATGGCCTACAGCTAAATGGCATACTTGGTTTTCTTTTCACCTTAGAAAATTCGGAACAAAATTTTCATGATTTTAAAAATGTTTAATTTTTTTTTTTTGTTTTGGCCGGTTTTGCGTAAATAAGTTATTTATAAATCAAAAAAATTAGTTAGTTTTATTAATTTACAAACAAAAAACACAATTATCACAATTAAAAAGGAAAATGTTAAAAAGAATTTTAAGATTGAATAATAAAAATTAAATAAATTGAAATAAATTAAATGTAGTTATAGAAAATGATAAAAAAAAAATATTTGAACTATTTCAAAAAATTTAAATAATAACTAAATTTGACACAGCTCTTCGAAATTTTTTTTAGTACTGTAAGAAACTATTGAGAATTCCAAATAAAATAAAAAATTTTGATTAAAAAAATAAATATATGAATAAAAAATTAAAATTTAAAAAAATAACAAATAATAAATAATAAATTTAAAGAAAAAAATTAAACGGCGATAACTTTTCAAAATATTTTTTTAGTACTGTAAGAAAATAACAAAAATAAAAATAATAAATAAAAACTAAAAAAATAAATAAATTGTACACAACTTTTCAGAATATTTTTTTCATGATATGAGGCACGTTTGCTCTAACACTGTTTCCAACGCTCTCTCTTTCTCCATTTATAGCATATTTGTTCGTAACTTAGCTTAATTTTCTTCATGTAAGCATTTATTATTTACATTTTATCATTTCATTTCGCTTGATAAATTGTCATTACTTTTTAATCATCTACTCGCGACATTTTCGGTAGCCGCCTTACAGAAGCTTCAATCTCTCGGCTGGCTCATAAATATTTTTCTTTTTCATTATCTGCGCATCCACAACACTTCGAAATATTTTTTTTTTGTCTGTTTAAATTTTTTCCGAACGTTTTGCTAATATTTAAATGCCCGTTAAGGCATTGTTAGTGCGTACGTGCGATGGTGTCGTTGGTGGCGAGTAATTCGACGCACGTCGCGAAAGCTTGTTGGAGCCTACCGCTGTCAACTCATCAACAATGAGATGCCTTGGTGTCGCAGCGAAGCCAAGTATGCGTTGTTGTTGTAATTTTTCGATATTTTCTTTTTTTTTTTTGCTTTTTTGTGTCTTTTGTTCACAGCGTTGCACGTACGCGGCATAAGTAAGTAAGTGGTATGCTGCCTCATAAAAATAAAATGAGATTTAAGACAATGTAGAGCTTGTGTGAAGTGGAGAGTTGGGTAAAAGTCTGTAATTATATATGACTACGGACGTTAATACACATATTTATCATATAG